CACGAAAACACAAAAAGAAATTTTTTAAAAAAATTTAAAGAGAGACAGTATTGAAAAATTAAAGAAAACCAGAAATCACTCACAAGAAACACAGATAATTATTAGTCAAATTCTAGTGTACTCTCTTCAATTTTACATGTGTACATTTAATAAAATTTGGGGATCATATTGCATGCACAATTTTGTTCTATATATATTTTTCACTGTTATGTAACAATCATTAAGTATATTACTAGATTTTTAGTAAAAATTGTGTACTTGATATATTTGATAATATAGAAAATCTACTAATATAGGTAATAATAACATGTCCATATCAGAAATATAAATATAACTGTGGATAACAACTGTATCATAGAACATTGAACTTGCTCCTGTTTTTGAGACTAAGTCTCACTATGTAACTCTGGCTTGCCTGAAACTGTCTATAAGACCAGATTAGCCTTGAACTCAGAAATCTACCTTTCTCTGCCTCCCAAGTGCTGATATTAAAGGCATGCACCATCATGCTTGGCTAAACTTGCTTCTAGTTATTTGCTGCAACATACAAGACAAAGCTTTTTAAAGAATAATATGTATTTTCTTTTTAGTTATGTGTTTGTGTGTGTATTTGGGTGTATGCACTGGAGTGCAGCAAAGCCGGAAAGTTGTCAGTATCCCCGGAGCTGGGGATGCAGATGTTTGTGAACCCTTAGCAAGGATGCTGGGGACTAAACGCTCATCCTCTGGAAGAGCAGACATCACTCTTGGCAGCTGAGCTGTCTTTCTAGCTAGAGTCTTTAGATAAAGATCTTTGGCAGCATCTTTGAATGCACACAATAAATAGATTTTTAAAGATTTCTTTTATTTTTAAAATAAAGAGGTTATTTAAAGTATACAAAAGGATGTTTGTAGGTTTCATACAAATACTGTACCATTTTATATACAGACTTGAGCCTCTGGGGATTTTGGTATTGGGGCAGGTCCTGGAACCAAAGCTCCATGGGTACTAAGGGGAAACTGCACAGAATAGATTTGTTTTTAAAAGGAAAACAAAAATCACTCGCAATAAATATAGATGTTTGTGCTGGCTAGTTTTATGTCAACTTGACACCAGCTTAGAGGTACTGGACAGGAGGGAGCCTGAACTGAAAAAAATGCCTCAGTAAGATCAGGCTATAGGCAGGCCTGCAGGGTATTTTCTTAATTAGTGATTGATGTGGGAGGGCCCAGCCTGTTGTGGGTGGTGCTATTCCTGGGTTGGTGCTCCTGGGGTCTATAAGAAAGCAGGCTGAGCAAGCTATGAGGAGCAAGCCAGCAAGCCATGAGCACCCCTCCATTGCCTCTGTATCAGCTCCTGCCTCCAGGTTCCTGTCCTGTTTGAGCTCCTGTCTTGACTTCCTTCGATGATAAACAGTGATATGGAAGTATAAGTCAAATAAATCACCTCTAGGCTATTCATAATACCTAATACAATGTAGACACTTCCAGAAAATGTGGAATTTCCATACCCATCTTGAACTCTCTCTGTTTCTACCCAGATTTACATTCTAATCTTCAAAGACAAAAGGAGGCAGCTCAGAGTCCCTCCAGACTGGCCCTTCTCTACTATCTGTTCCCTCCAAGTGTACTGGAACTACCTTATTGCAGCTTGGGAGATGAATACTGTCTTAGCCTACTTGATACTGCCGTGATAAAGGCCGTGACCAAATTCAGCTTGGGAAAGAAAGGGTTTATTCAGCTTACAGCTTGTAGTACATCATGAAGGGAAGTCAGGGCAGGAACTCAAGGCAGGAACTGATACAGAGGCCACAGAAGAGCACTGCTTACTGGCTTGTTTCCCATGGCTTGCTCAGTTAGCTTTCCTATACAACCCAGTACCAACAACCCAGGAATGGCACTGCCCAGGGTGAGCTGGGCTTCCCCCACATCAATCACCAATCAAGAAAGTGCCCCTACAAACTTGCCTACTGTCTGACGGAGATAATTCTTCAGCTGAAATTCCCTCTTCCCAGATATGTTTAGGTTTGTATCAAGCTGACAAAAATTTAACCAGAGCAAATATTGACCAACAACTGTTAAAGACAGTTATTAAACAACTAAATGTTGCAAACTCACCACTAAATAAATTATCACAAGCAAAGATGGTAAACATGCAAAACTTACCATTTTGTCGTCTTTGTAACCTTGCTACATTTCCGTATTCTTACAGCCATTAAATCTGCATAGGAGCTAAATATAATGGCACGTTACAGCATCCCTTCTCAGCTCCCCATGCAATGATCCCACCATGATGGTAGCTGGAAATCAGCTCCTAAACATAGTTACACCAAAGAATTGGCCTATGCTTCAAAACGGGGCTTTACTAACCATTTTGTTGTTTAAATTTATAAAAAAATGATAGAATACTGGGGTAAAACTCAGTGATAGATCATTGGCGTAGCATGTGTATGAAGCCCTCATTCAATCCCCGGTACCACAAATAGAAAAACAAAACAAAACAGACTTTTGTCCAGTCACTGTAGCGCACACCTATAATCTCAGGACTTGGAAGGTGGAGACAGGAGGATCTGGAGTTCAAGGCCAGACTCGGCAACATAACAAGTTTGAAGCAAGCCTGGGCTACGTGAGACCCTGACTCAGAAAATAAAAATTAAACAAGAAAATGACAAAAACATTAATAAGGAGAATTTTTAAGTTGTGTGTGTTGTTAGGGATCAAACCCAGGGCCTCCCACATGCTGGGCAAGAACTCTACCAGGGAGCTGTGTTTACAGCTTGACTAGGGCACAATGTCTGGAGCTATTACATTCTAGGTTACAACATCAGTGAGAGAAGAGTGTTCCAGCATGGAAAACGACCGCCCAGTTCGTCAAGGATGATGATGGAGTGATGCTTCAGGGTTCATCTTCACGTCATCACACCAGTCAAAGTGAAGCAGCCATCGGCACTCACATCACCGCCCACTCGCCCGTCCACGTCTGCAACCGCGTTGCTGAATTGGACAGCGATCAAACACTTACCCATAGTCTGATTCTAGGGGATATTAGTCACGACAGGATGACTAAAACTGAGGGTAGATTGTGAAGAAATTGCAACTCGTGTGAATTTAGCAGTGTACGTTTTTAGAAACTAAAATCACGTAAAAAGAAAATACTAGCCGAAAATTCGATATTGACGCTCAAGTCGGGCAGACCCGGAGGAAGTGATCACGGGAGAGTGGAAGGTGAGGTTTACAGACTGAGTCCACTTTAGACTGACTCTGATTCTTGACTCATTAGTAACCAGCTGCCACGCTTTGCCCACCATGATGAACAGAGAGTCTCACAAACTATGAATAATAATCATAAAATTGATAATAATAATAATAATAAAATAATAATAATAATAAATCCTTCCTCTCTTGTACTGTTTCTTGGCAGGTAACTGACCACAGTGACAAGAAAAGTAATGGATACAATATGAGCAGTGGTTCTCAACCTTCCTAATGCCATGGCCCTTTAATACAGTTCCTCATCTTGTGGTGACCCCCAACCATAAAATTATCTTGTTACTACTTCATAACTGTAATTTTGCTACTGCTATGAATTGTAATATAAATATCTGATATGCAACCCCCCAAGGGGGTCACAACCCAGAGGTTGAGAACCACTGCAATACGGATTATACAACAGAGTATTATATTATTCTTTATAAACTGTGCTAAATACCCATTATATAAGAAAAACTTGTAACAGGCACCTATGATTTGTGAGGGAGTTGTTGAGCGTTTCCCAGCATACCACTGTCCCTATCCTACACTGCCTGTCCCCATGACATGCATTACTATCTAGGTTTCCTCCTCATTTCGGACCACATCTGGTACTCTAAGCCCTGCCTAAGGCCTGCACTTCAATGTCAAGGTCAGTACATTTGACAGAAGGCCACGAGCAAGCCTTGGCTCTGCACAGCATCCTTCCCCAGTTGGACTGGGCCCCAGTGTCCCTCAGGTCTCTCTGGCTATTCTCCCATCACTGCAGAAAGAGCGTTTCTAAGATTCAGCCACCTCTCCTACCAGACTCAAAGCCTTGATGCAATTTGAAGAGTTATACACTTTTTGGTTTGGGGATTTTTTTCCCCCGCTCTGGAAGCAGTTGCCAACTGTATATTTTGTAGCTCTGGGAAATCTTAGCTGATATTTTAACTTGTTGAGAAGGCTGCACTCTAAGCAATCAAGGATGGATTTGCTTGTGGGAGTGAGCAGGGTCGGCTCAGCCCACACGAACAAATGCATGCTGCTTCTCACTGAGCCGGCAAGACTTTGTCAATTCATTCCTACAGTGGTCTCAACAGGCCTTTGTCAGACATAACTTCCCTGCCAGTCACAGTGAAGACCTCCAAAGAAACCAGGAGAGCAGGTGGGGATAATGAGCCGTTATTCACTGGCCTGTTCTTGGGCATTAAACTTAGTAAAACCACCGTCTTGGACAGCTCCAAGCTCTGTTTTCTTCTTTCTACATGGATTCATTTCCAGGATCCTGTGTCCCTGTGGTAAGCTTCAGAGAAATGACTATGTTGGTGTTTTCAGAATTAATTTATGAGCCCCTGAAAGCCTCAAAATAGTCTCCTTTGCTCAGTCGGGTAATACAGGAACTGGCTGAGGTTTTGCACCAGGCAGATGCTGTCTGGAACAAGAACAAAATGCGTATGTGGAAAAACCAACATCAGGTCTGAGCACTCAGAACAGCTTATTATTTTCACTGCCTGAAAGCATGGAAGGAGGAGGCAGAATTCATCCAGCTTCGGGGTAGGTGAAATTAGTGCATGAACTTAGAATCATTTTTTAAACAGTGTGTATGATCCACCCTAGAAAGCAACCCAGGGACATAATTAAGCATCTTAAATAAATTTACATTTCTTAGCAATACCTTCTATTAGTCCATTGTCTGTTCTTACAATGAAACTCTTGAAGCTGGATAACTTTAGAAAGAAAGGAGGTTTTATTTGTTTGTTTTTTTTTAAGCTCACAGTTCGGGGGCTGAAGGGCACAGAGCGAGCATCGGCTCAGTGTCACTACAGTGGTGAGATCACATGCTCACAAAGAAGGTAGGGACCAGCTTTGCTCTTGCTATAAGTACCCTCTCACGAGTGTCTCTGGGTCCCATGCGAATTACCTTAGTCCTGTCTGAGGGCAGAGAGGCCACCAAGCATTCCCCCACCTCTATGTACTTCCCACACACAGGCTCTTGGGAACACACAGGAACCATATTTGAGTCCTATCATATTGGCAGATTCTGTCTCCTTTCTTCAGTTCAAAGTTTCACAGAGAACTTAGAAGATCAGGAGAAGGGTAACATGGGGCCAGTTTTTCTCTGAACTTAGTAACAGTTAACGTGAAGAAACCTCAGAATACACAGCAAGCTTTAAGATCAATGCCTAGGAGAACAATTTTTTTTTCTTAAAAAGGAAAACCCTAAAATTTTCATTGAGAAAATTAGCCTGCTTGTAAATATTACCTACTGAAGCCTTCCTTATGTAACTTCTCATTAGCCATGCAAAGATCCACACATTCATATTCAGACGCCAAAGAAAGAAAACAGCATAAGGCTGACACAAGGCGCATACTCAGTGCAAGCATTTGCAGAGAGCCTGTTCCCAGCAAACACAATGTCCTGTGAGCCCTTCTAAAGCCCTAAAAAAAACCCAGGCATTCTTGAGGCCAGCAAGCCACAGGGTGACCAGCACCTGCCCAGCTCTGCAGACTAAGAAACCAGAGATGCTTCCGCACCAGCCCTGAGGTCTCCCCACTTGCCCTCAAGCTCAGCTCCACTCAGCATCCATAAGGCCAACCCCAGGGTCAACTTGTCGGCCACTGCCCACACACTGGAGCTTCGGAATGGAGATTTCTTTCACTTTTGTTGGTGGTAAACCAGTAGGTGAAAGACCTGCTGAGTAAGAGCTAAAAATCTAGAATTTCTCTTAGTCTTAGTTTGTTTCTTTCTGCTTTGAGATGGAATCTTGCTATGATGGACAGGGTGACTTCAAACTCATAATCATCCTACCTCAGCCTTCCGAGTGCTAAGATTTAAGATTATAGGTGCACACTGCCCCACCTTACCCAGATGCTTATCCCATTTCTTATCATAGCCTAGAATTACGTAAGGGCATATAAGGTATGTATATGTGTACTCACACACATCCCCCTCCCCCGACACACACACACAATATGGGCCTGGAGCAGGGAGACTGGGTTTTCTGCCTCTTTGCCAATTTTAAACTATCTAATTTAGAACACACCCATACATATGAGATGTGGGTTTCTTCTTTTACAAAATGAGAGGGAAGGATTAGATGAACCCTGGAGACTGCCCCAGCTGTAACAGCTCTGACCCATGCATGTCAGAGAATTGTTTTAGGGGGATTAAAACCAGTCCTACTCCCACATACAGGGGCTCCACCAAAGGGAGCTGATGAGGATGTTTGTTCTGGGCCTGATCCACCCCATTGTTGAACTGTCATTTTTCCCACGGGGAATAGCACATAGTCATCACCCAGGAGTGTCCCTTGGCATTTTCAAAAGACTTCTTCCTCTGCAGAGTGGAACTCCGTCCCTTGATGCCCATGCTGTGTATCTAAGATCAGATGAAGCAGATGCAGCAGCGACCAGATGGTTGCTGGAGAAAAGGCTGTGTCGATGTCCTGGGGGAATTCAGAAAAACTGATTTAAGAGAACCAGGCCTGCGGCACACAGAATTTTCTGGGTGGAATTCCCCAATTCATGGAAGCCCATGAACTGCCTAGAGGTTTTTCTGTGTTCTTATAGACACCAATGTGAAAACCACACAGGAAGTTCAGGCAAATACAAATATTTCCTTTCCCAAATACAGAGCCATCTTCCGCCGCCCTCATCGTGTCCTGCTGCACCAAGAGCTGACTCGGAACAGCAACCATTCTGTGGTATTTCCCATTATGTGGCTCCGGCATCAAGGCAGGGTGTGGCTGAGTGATCCTTCCATTACACAGGGCATCCTTGGCTGTCACTTAGTGAAAGCTGGATAGACTGTACAGAGAGCTCACTATGTACCTCTTGTCCTCCAGGGGGCGCTAGACTAGGCTTAGCTAGGACTGTTGACTGGAGCACCCACAGAGGAGTGGTCCAGAATAGGTATCTTTGAGCAGCTGCTGGTACTCTTTAGCCCTTCTGCAGGGGATGATCCTGGGTGAAGGCCCTCTCTAGATGCAGACCCCTCAACCTTGAACTTCTAAGAGTCAAGAACTGTCAGGAATAAATTGTTTGCTCTTTATAAAATACCCATTATCTAGGTTGTTTGATAATAGCAAAGTAGAAGAGATCCAGACTTGAACAAGAAACACTTACATCTCATGATTCCAGAGGCTAACATGTCCAGGACCAAGGTGCCAGGAGATCCAGTTTCTGGTGAAAGTTTACTTCCTGATTTGTATCCACGTGGCTTATAGAGAAGAGAGAGTGAACATCTGTCCACTGTGCATTCTCTTGAGGCACTAATTTTATCACAGAGGCTCCATCCTCATGAACTAATTGTTCCCAAAGGCCCCACCTCCCAGTACCTTCACACTGAGCCAGGCTTCAACTGTAAATTTGGGAATGGGGAAACCACAAACTCATGTACTTGGATTTGTAGCTTATGTGTATATTTGATTTGTGTCTTGCTTCTTTTTCCTTTGTATTTGTTTGTTTATTTGAGCATTTTATATGAGTACTTACATCATGCCCCTCCCTCTTGCTTCTTAAATAAATAACTCAGAGTCATTTTCTCCAGTTATCAAGCCTCCCTCATGAACATCAGTGCTTAGTGCCTGCCTTCTCTTCCATCACATCCAGGGCCACAAACTATCCATCAGTGTATGTGTTCAGTTTGCTTGGCTTTTAGTAAATCTTGATCTTAGCATTCTCATACACCAAACTGTGCCTCTGTGTTGTGGAATACTATTTTAAGGTGTGTCATTTTTGTTTAGTTGCATTTGTTTAACTCTGTAAAGTTGTGTTACTGTGCCTGTCTAAAACATCCGATGGTCTAAGAATTGAAAGGTCAATAGCAAGGCAGGAGAAAGGATAGGCAGGGCCAGGTAGAGAGAATATATAGAAGGAGAAATCTGGGGGAAAAGAAAGGGGGGTAGCTAAAGAAGGAGGAGGACATCAGGGGCCAGCCACTCAGCTACACAGCCAGCCATGGGGTAAGAGTAAAATTTACAGAAGTAAGAGAACGGGAAAAGCCCAGAGGCAAAAGATAGATGGGATCATTTAAAGTTAAGAAAAGCTGGCTAGAACTAAGCCAAGCTAAAGTGGGGCATTCATAATTAAGAATAAGCCTCCTGTGTGATTTATTTGGGAGCTGGACTGCAGGCCCCCTAAAAGAGAAAAGAGTGATAAAAAGAACACCACCCCCTCCCTGGATTTATTATTTGGTTAAGAAAGATTCTAATGAGTGGAATCCCTAGGGTAGCACTCCTCACCTTGAATTATTTCTTCCTTTAACATATGAGTCACTTTTACCTCTAGGATCTCATCATCTCTCACGTAATTGGTTCTTAACATGACCCTTTTTCTTTTCTTCTGTATGTAAGTGGTTATTAAAGTCATGGATCCTGGTAAGATGAGCTAGAAGTGCATAAAGTTCTGGAAAAAGAAATAAAAATATTAGTTTTAAAAGACAAATCATTATTCCTAATGAACCCAAAGAAGTAGACATACATAAAATTTGTGAATAAAAGTAAGTAAATAGCTGTATACTATTTGTATTAGTATTGTATGAGTAAACTCAGGCACTTTCCCACTCAACTATAGAGTGGCTTGGGCAAACTTAGTGAATATCTAAAAGTTCAATAAAATATTGAAGAATGAGATTCATCCTCACATTTCAGGACTATATGTAGAAAGCAAACATAATATTTTAATGTTCAGTCAAAAATAGAAAATTGCCTAATGCAGTTTCAGAAAAATACAGTGATTTTTAAAGGAGGGAAATACAGTCAACGTGGTAATTCTCTTCAGTTATAAAGGAGAACTTTAGCATTATTCCAGTTAAAGTTCTCATCACTTACTCTATAAAACGTAACACAAGACTGGCATCCCTTCACAAAGATGAAAGAGTACTCAGAAGCAGAGCAGTGAGAGACAGTTCTACCTGGGAATCAACTTTACTCTAGGAGCAAAATAACACGCTGGGATTTGATCAAAAACACAAGCATAGAATAACAAAGCAGAACAGACACGTAACAGGTTCTTAACATGTGTGCAAAGACAGAATCTCTAAGAAACCAAGGAAAAGAAGTGGCTAGGTAGTTTCATCATCATTCCTAGGGTAAGAGCCCTGTGACTGGATAGGAAGAAAAGTTAATTTGAACCCACCCTTCTCATGAGGGATGTTACTGAATTAAATACATTTTAATTTATAAAGATGAATAAAACAGAATACAGAAATATGAGTAAAGCACATGATAAGTATATATTTTTTGAGCAATGGAAGTTCCTACCAAGGAAAGCACGTTTCTAGACAAACTGTTGTGCTTTTGTGCCCTCTGGAGAAGAGACTTGGTTACATATTTTAGGAGACTTACATTTCTTCTACTATTAGAGATATTCTTAATGCTCTGTGTAGGTAACAGGTCTTTATGAGGGTGCAGTAGTTAACCTTGATCATCACCACCAAAGGATTTAGAGTAATCTAGGAGACAAAATTCTGGGTGTATCTGTTTGGGGTGTTTCCAGAGAAGTTTAACTGAGGAAAGAAGACCTACTATAGCTGGAAGTTTTCCTGTGTCCAGCCCAAGCCCTGGGGTTGGGATGAATCTCTCCCACCCATGCCCCACAGCCATTTGACCCCAAATAAACACACAGAGGCTTATAATATTTTCAAACTATATGGCCTAATGGCTCAGGCTTCTCGCTAGTTAGCTCTTACATCTTTTTTTTTTTTTTTTTTGGTTTTTCGAGACAGGGTTTCTCTGTGTAGTTTTATGCCTTTCCTGGAACTCATTTGGTAGCCCAGGCTGGCCTCGAACTCACAGAGATCCACCTGGCTCTGCCTCCTGAGTGCTGGGATTAAAGGCATGTGCCACCACCGCCCAGCTAGTTCTTACATCTTAAATTAACCCATTTCTATAAATCTATACTTTGCCACATGGCTTGTGACTTACCGGTACTTTACATCTTGCTTCTCTTGGCGGCGGCTAGCAGCATCTGTCCCACTCTCCTTTCTTCTCTTACTCTCTCTCTCTTGGATTTTTCCACCTGGCTCCATCCTGCCCCGCCATAGGCCAATGCAGCTTTACTTATCAACCAATCAGAGCAACACATATTCCCAGCATACAGAAAGACATCCCACAGCAACCTACCCTGAATGTGGGCAGACCATCTCACAGAAGGCATCAAACAGAAAATAAGACAAGCCAGGGAGCAAGCTGAGAACAACCATTCATCTCTCTCAGCTTCCCAACTGTGGACCCAATGTGACCAGCTTCCTCAAGCTCTAGCCTTGCTCCTGCCATGATGGACTGTATTCCTTCCAAACTCTGAGGGCAAAATTAGCAAATCCTTCCTTAAGTAGCCTTTTTTAGGTGTTTGGTCAAAGGAACGGGAGAAGCAATTGACATAGAAGACATTTTACTTTAAGTACACATAGGGAGCTGGGCATAGAAAGGAATCCTGTGTGGAGAACCCTTTCTTAAAGTGAGCATTTCCTGGATACATCTATCTCTAAATCTGGACTTTCATATTCTGCTCTCTGTAGGAAGCACACTCTACAAATTTATCCTCTGTTTAAATTAGAATTCCTCTGTATCCGTGCAACCACAAAAAAAAAAAAAATCACTTCTATGACAAGTCACCAAATGCATATGTTCAACAGTCCAATCCATTAAGAATTCTAGCTCATTTGGTCTTTTATTCATACTTTACAAGGTAAAGCTCCATCAGTTTGAGCTACTATAATGAAGTACCATTGATTGGGTGACTTACAAACACTAGACATATTTCTCATTGTGTGGACAATGAATTCTAAGATCAGGGTGACAGTATCGTGGGGTTCTAGTGAAGGCCTTCTCTAGGTCCCAGACTGCTGCTTTCTCATTGTGCCTTTACATCATGGGAAAGGGGCAGAGGGAGTGATACTCTATTCACAGGAACACTAATCACATTGTGAGGGCTCTGCTCTCACAAGGTAATCACCTTCCGAAGGCCGCATCTCCTAAGAGCGTCACCTTGCAGGATAGGATCTCAACATATGAATTTGGGGTGATACAAACATTTGGTCCATGATACTCTCACTGGGCAGAGATGTGTTTGGTTTCCTTGTAAAACCCCAAGATGAAAGAATAGCAGGTGACAATTACTGTGTGAAAAGAAGCTTTATGTCACTTGGACTCAGAAGCGCAAAGTGGCAAAGACGCTGTGTTCGTTTCACTCATCACACCAGCGAGGCGTTGATAACATCCGGTGTCGGGATGCGGCGTGCGGCTCAGCAGTGGAACAGTAGCCCAGCACATGTGAGGCCATGGGTTCAATCCCCCAGCATTGCAAAAGAAAACACGATATCCCATGATGAAAACTTGTACAGAGAAGTGTCTAATCTAAAACAGGCATTTTTGGAGAACAATTTGGGGTCTTCACAAATTTTTTAATGCACCTGTTTTCTGACTTAGTGATTTCACACCTAGGAACTACCCCTACATGGTTGCATGTGTGAACAAAGATACGTCTTGGGGGTGTACAGTCTGGCACACTTTGCAGAAACAAAAAAACTAAAAGAGCACATGAGTCCATTGTAGACAACTGGTCAAGCAAGTAAGGACCGTGCCGTAGAGTAACACCCAACATTTACAAAATGTAGTAACGTGAGCTGGAGAAATGGTCGAGCCATTAAGAACTCTTGCTGCCCATCCAGAGGACTAGAATTTAGCTTCCAGGACCCACGTCAGATGGCTTATAACCACCTATAACTTCAACTTCAGGAAATTAGATGTTCTCCTCTGGCCTCTGTGGGCATCTGCACATCTGTGTATGCACACACACCATAAAAAATAAAATAAAGTCTAAGAAGAGAGAGAATGCAATAATGGTACATGTCCTGATTTGCAAAGATTTCCAGGACAGATCTAAAAAAAAAACTTACAAAATGATACTCAGTCCAGCTGGTTTGTTCAAAAGAGAAAATGAAAGATTAAACCATAAAATTATATATGAAATACAGATGGTGGAGGTTTAGTCAAATACAATTCATAAGAAGGGTTTGACAGGAATGCATTCATGTTAACATGTTGAGTGAGTGATTAACCATGCAGAGCTGAGTTGCATGTGAAACAGAACCTGCTTTTTAATTATCTTCTATTTTCTTTCATTCTTTAAGAAGGCCTAGGTTTACATGGCAATTGCATGAATTTCAGTTTATTTACAACCTAGGACATTTGGGATGACCTGGGTATCCTTCTGATCCTGCCAGAGGAGGAGGGAATAGGCTCCATCTTTCTGAAGGCCACTTCTCTAGGGCAGCCCCAGCCAGGCACCTACCTTTCAAGGTCAGTCTTTCTCAAATCCAATCTCATCACTTCTTCAGTGAGGAGGGTCGGGCCAGATGACCAGCTCTGGTCCTGACACCTTGTAATCTTTGGGGAAATTCCTTTTCTCCTAAGCAGACTTAGAAAAGAGCATTTAGTCAGGCTAGCAGATAGGTACTGATGCTGTTCAAACTCTGTCCTTTCTTTCCATGTCTGTGGGTCTTGGACAAGTTCTTCAGCCTCTCTAAGATCCAGTTCCCCTTCTATAAAATAGAGCTAAGAAGGGCAACCATCTCCTGAAACAGCTGGGAGCTAAAAGAGCTTAAATTCATTACAGTGTCTGGACAGGGTGGAATCTGTGCCCTGGAGCAGGGCAGTGAGTGCAAACACATCATGGTGGGTGGATTTTTAAAGTTAAACTCTAAACATTTGGCAAATATCTTCCCACTTACAGAAGCCTGTTCACAAATGCATTTGATTTCTGAACAACACTGTGTTACTGTGGGCAGGCATTAGCGTCTCCATTATACGGGGAAGGCAGCCAAGGCTGGGGTGGCAGCTAGGGTCAAATGAAAGGAAGCTGTGAAGCCAGAACTTATGCACATCATCCGCTGTTCATGTTACAAAACACTTGAGGACACGCTCTCTGTTGGATGCTGTGCTAAGTGTAAGAGTGAGCAGAAGGATCAGGCCCGTTTGGAGGGGCCAGCAGGGCTGCAAAGAGCACAAGGCTGTTACAGGGCAAGGGGCCTAGACACTGAGAGCTGCTGTCTCAATCCATGCTCAGCGCTTAGTATGGTATAAGCAGGTAAGTTACTAACACCTCATTGACTCAGTTTCTCCATCTGTAAGAAGGCAAACACCATGTTTGTATGGAGGCCGGTAATGCAGAAGGACTTCACAGGAGCATCGCCTTGATAAACCCATCACTGTGCAGGCCAGAGTCCTTAGAACAGGAGGCCTTGAGTCTCAATTGTGTCAGCAGGGTGAGTTCAAGTTTCAAAGCTGACATCATAGCTACCTGAGCACAAGCTGTGATGGTCTCTATCACCTCAACTTGTCACCCTTTGTGATAAAGGAGGTCACAGATGCCTGAACACACT